TCTGGCCAGCGCCCCTCAGGCCTTGGACGAGACGCCGCTTCCTCTGGTAAGGACGGAGTTGGTGCTTCAGGCTTGAGGAGCTGATGGGTCGTGTTGTTCCCTTGGACTGGGGGATGGCGGAAGGGTCAAGCTGTGCCCTAGGAGCCAGCCCGGGTGGTAGCTACTGGGCTCCAGGGATGCAAAACCTTCCATTCCCCCAGGGATAGGGATGGTGGTAGGCCCGGTGCCAGCCCAGAGTGCGGCTGCAGAGACCTGAGCAACGTTTGTGCTTCTCTAGGTTCGTCCACCCACGCAAGATGGAAGGACAGAGCCTGCAAGCAGCACAAGGCATGGATCCATCATTTCTGCAATAAGTAACGGCCAGTGCTGCTGGCCCCCAGCCGTGGGGGCTCTGGTCCAGAGCAGCCCTGAGGCGGCCCCGGAGTGACAGGGCCAGGCCCCGTTTCTGATGCTAGCAAGCAGCTGTGCTGGGTGGCAGTGCCTGGGGTGGGACAGGGGAGCTCTTCCTGCTGGAAGAGGCCCCCAGCCAGGGCTCATGAGCCTCTGGGCATCTGTGCAGCGTTTCCATCCTGGCTCTATTTTGCCACATTCCCTAAGGTGTAACCTTTTGCTCCAGCCCTGGCAGTCTCTCCCCTCCCTTCTTATGCCCTTTCCCATGTTGGGATGCTCTGGAGCCACTGAGGGAGTCCAGAGGGGATTGGGCTCCTCCCCCTCCCCAAATCCCAGTTGTTTTTTTCATTTGTGGCTCATCCCCACCCGTCTGGGATTTACCAGCTCCCAGGAGCTGCGGTGCTGTCTCCCCTGGTGCCCTTCAGTGGGAGCGGGGCAGAGGCTGCTGGAGCCAGGGGTCCCCTGAGAGCTGCTCTCCCCTGCCCGGGGGGTCCTCACCACCCCCAGGATGGCTTCGCTGCCGGGTCTTATACTCGCTGAGCCCTGTAATTGTTCGTGTTGGGGGCAGTCAAAATTACCCAAAACCCCACAAATACTGAAACGTTCTTTAACGAAACCACGCTTTGTTTTTATATGGGAGCTGTTACAGCACCTCCTGCCTTCTAAACTGCAATGTACATGGCTGTGACTAAACCTGTTCTCTTTGGGTTTTTTTCTTCCCGAAGGAGGAGGACCACAGAGATGCCAAGGGGCCTTTTGGGCCACCAGCAGCAAAACAGCGGCGTCACTGACCATTGTTGAAGACTGTTCTTGTTCTATGTTTGTTCTACAGTTGTTCTAATATTCTTGTTATACTCTTCTCGTTTTGTTCTTATACTCTACTTTTTTTATTGTAGCTTTGTGTTGTTATACTGTTTTTCCGTTGTTGTTGTAACAATAGTAAACTAGTATTTTTACCATCATTTTACTATCATTTTAGCATTTTTTTTACTCTCAATATATAATTTCCACCCCTCCTACTACATCCTCCACCCCCTCTTTTTATGTCCCCCACTTAAAATAAACAGACTATGTTCACATCTGCCTTCCCTGTGTTTGATTTCTGGGCCAGGGCACAGGTGCCGCTTTCCAGCACCCTCTGCTTGAGCCATCCCTAAGTGTCCCCTCTGCCTGAGGATGCTCCCCATGGTGCTGCAGTACCCAGTCTGCAGAAGGTCACGGACAGAGAAGTGCCTTGGCAACGGCAACCAGAGGAGCCCTCAAGCTCTTGAGCAGAGGTGGATGGGCTGAACAAAGCACCTATGGTGCTCGCCAAGCAAAGGGATGGCAGCGGCGTCCTCTGTATGGCTGGGAGAGGGCAGGTGGGGAAGCTGGCTGGGGGCAAGGTACAAGCAGGATGGGGCAGCTGCAGGCTGCATGTGCCAGAGCTCCTGCCCTTGCCTGACCTTTTCCTTTCAGTCACCTGAAATAGTTCAGGGGATGGTTCCCCTGATGGCGCACCTGGGCTGTCCCCATGGCGATGGCTGTGTCCCCCTTCTTCTCCCATCCCTGCCATCATTAGGTGTGTGCTTGTGGCTTCTGCAGTCTATTGGCTCATTTTGCCAAGTCAGGTGATGCCACCTTGGGCCGGCACTGCCACCCCTGCTTTCACCTGCTCCTTTGGTCCCCAGATAAATCTGGGCTGGGCAATCCACTCTGGCCAATAGCCTCTTCCTGACAGACCTGTGGAGAGGCCGCAAGCTGCTGAACGCTGAAGGCGAGGAGGGGAACAGTGCCAGGGATGGGGTATCCTGGCTGTCCGGGATTTGGCAGAGTCCGTGCTGCTCCTGAAGGGGCTGTAGCCCCTCTGCCTTCCCAGCGGGCTCCTCCAGGTCTCCGATGCTGCCTGCAGCATGCTGCCAGCTGCCCGTAGGTGCTGGGGATGGCTCCAGAGCAGCAGGGACCCCTGTTTTCTAAATGCTCCAACTCAGGAGCAGCCCACTGAAACAGACAAAGAAAACTGTGACCAAGGCAGACACCAACCACCCAAAAAAAGTAAAAAAATAAATGAGACAAATAGTAAAGAACTAAATAAGGCGGAGATCGCAGCTCACAGACCCACTGAAGAGTTCTGAGAGCACAAGTGAATGGCTCCTGATGTATCCACGTATGGCTCCCTGGGCCAGGGGTATGTAACAGTCTTCATCCTGTGTTACATGCTGGCTGCCCCCATCTTTGGGAACCTTGGTGACCGGTACATTAGGAAAATCTTCCTTGGAGCTGGTATTTTCTCTGGTCTGCTGTCACATGAAGCAGTTCATTCATCAGTGAATTGGTAAATTGCTTTTTTAGAGCCTTATGAAAATAATCTGCAGGAGTCAGTAGTCTTTATCTAGTCTTAATCTAATCTTAATGTCCCTTGGGTGACATGGTTTAGTGTGAGGTGTCCTTGCCCATGGCAGGGGGGTTGGAACTAGATCTTAAGGTCCTTTGCGGCCCTAACTATTCTATGATTCTATTCTAATCACATTTGGAAAAGCAATCAATGAGCACACTACTAAGGCTCAGTTTTCTCCTTGGCTTGCTCAAACACCATCCCTCACCATCAGCATCCCGAACTGCTTCCCTACTACTGCACCCGGGTAGGTCAACTCATCCTTCTATACCACTTCCAGCCCCTTCTTGTCTTTGCTGTTATGGTTTCATTTCAGCCCAAAGCCAACCAACATTTCAAGCTTGAAACACCCTTCTCAATGAGATAGCAAATCTTTCATAACCCTGTGCCCAACTTTAAAGGGGTTGATGGGTTTAAAGCCTAAGTGAAGAGAATTTACCTTCTAATACAAAGCTAAACAGCAAAATAAACAAATAAAATAGACAAATAGAAAAGTTGCTTTTGAGCCAAGCCCCATTTTGATTCTGCATCCTCGAATCCAGTAACTGCATAAGGGTCTTTTCAGATAAGGACAAATTAGACAGCTATTGAGGGGAAAAGCGAAGCACGGTTTGAATGGGCTGTCAAATGTACAAAGGAAACCAAGAGGAAACACCGTGCTTCTAGCTTTGATCAGGCTTCGGTACTTGCAATGCTGTTTGTAACGGCCATGTTCCTTCGCATGGGGAAATAACTCAGCAGGAAACTGCTGTCAAATGGAAACTGCTGAGTGACGGGGGCAGAATCACTTCCGATCTGCTCTGGGATGCACTCCGCTGTCAGAAAAAGCTACATTCCCCCTTGCCTTTATCATAAAGGGTTCAAATACTCACAGGCAGGGATGAGATTGAGGGAGACAGTCCATAATTACATTCTTCTTCTCATATGATTAAATAGGGTCAAAGGAACAACAGCAAAGCATATTCCCTGCACAGAGATCCTCCTGCAAATCTTCCTTTGCCAGGGCAGCCTGAATGTAAGTATAAGGTGAAACATGGCAGATGAATCCAACAGGATGGAGCACACTGGTACCACGCTGGTCTCTGTGTCCCAAGTCCCCTTTGCAGACGTTTATGGAAAGCACCTACTGACAGACTCGACCGAAGATGGGTTGTAAAGGATGTTGATGGAGAAGAAAAGAAATGTGTTTGCATCAGGGGAGGAGAAGGAAGAATGAGGACTCCATAGAAAAGTGAAGTGGTGGAAATGATGAGCCAGGAAAGCAGCAGCGTTTATTCTGGACAAGAGAGAAACAAGATTGCATCCACAGGAGCCAAGAAAACAGCTGGTTGTGGTTAAACCACAGAATAATGTAGGGACTGGATGTGATTCAGCTCAGAGGGAATAAAGAAAGGTTGGATCTTTCCTAGATGTGAAAGGAAAATGTGGCTCCCAAGGCTACTGCTGCAATTAGCACAGTCATTCAGAAAACCCAGCAAGAGGTTAGGGAAAGCAGCACCCTTTCAAGGCTAAACGATGCAAAACCTCACACTCTGAGAAACATTTCTCACAGTTCAGGCATCCATTGCAAGCACAATTAACTGTACCTTTGCTGTGCAAAGAAAGACAGCTAACATCCTGCAGAAAATGTGCCAAGAATGTCTCAGAGAGAGTAAGGCAAATCAGAAATACAGGGATAAATACAATTCTATGAAATCAAGTAGTAGCGCTGTAGCTGTAAGTACAGGTAATGTTTACTTAAAACCAGATATGTTAACATCGAGACACAGCACTGCAGCATACGGTAATGTCTCCAGAGCCAAAAAGTAACACTAGACTCCTGAAGCAGACTGTGCTCTTCTGCAACATTCAGTGTAAGCTTAAAAGAAAAGCAAAGCACTGCTAGCACACAGAAACTGAGGGTTGCGTTCAAGAGATGCTGTTTATTCAAGGGCTTCTTAATCCAACAGTGTAAAGGGAGAAAAGATTCCTACGACAGACAAATGAGAAGGATATTACCTATCGTCTTGCATAAATTCTTTTGTCCTTTACCATCTGCCTGCTTCTCACAGCTCTTCAAGTGCTGTGGATAACTGACATCCATGCAGTAAAGCTTGAAACCCCTCATTTTGCTAGCAGCTACACAGATGGCTCCAAGTAAAGTCCCAGAACATGTCTGGTACAGATCTCCTTAAACTCAGTTATGATTAAGGGTCTATGGGCTCCTGAGAACTCGTCAGTGTTTTTCCACAGGAAGGGGTCTGATTGTTGGACTGCCTGAAGGCACATCAAGCAGGAGGCTCTGTATGAACACAGTCATGTTGTAAATTGATGTTTAATCCACTGTGTACATGATGCTGTGTACTGGACTACTCTAAAATTAACACACAAGATTACCTCCATTCATAGATGCATTGTATAGCAAGAGACTATTATTTCTGATGTTGCAGTATGTTTGCAGGTCCTGATTATACAAAGCAAGAACAGTGGCCTCAACACTTGCTCCCTTCAGCTAAGCCCCTCCTGCCGATACAGTTTTTCCTGCCACCTTATTTTAACTCACCAAATGGTAAAGCTCCTTTTGGCAGTAACCTCATCTCACTGCCTGTGAAGAACCACTCTCTGGTGACTCTCTTCTAGTCTAGACCAGGCTGTGAGCGTATGGTTCTACACCCATCAGGTCATCTACCTCTGCACACTCACGTCACCAGGGCCAGGGCTGTCCTGTTTTTTAGGGGGCAGCTGCTTTGACAGAGTTTGACCTACCACAGGTGTCACCAAGCCAAGGAGGTCCCTAGGGAACTGGAATGTGTTGCCACAGCAACACAATGCTCTTGGATGCAGCTTTCCATTGACACCACAGAGGGAGAATTTGGGGGTGCTGGAAGCACTGAATCCTATTGGGGATGAAAAGTCTGTCTGAAGCATTGTGGCAAAGACAGATACAAATATACAGTCATAACCCTCTGTCGTGGTTTAAGCCCAGCCACACAGCCTCTCTCTCACTCCCCCCTTTCCTCCCCCAGCTCCTGGAGGGATGGGGAGGAGCATCGAAAGAACATAACTCCCACAGGTTGAGATAAGAACAGTTCAGTAACTAAGGTATAACACAAATCACTACTGCTACCACCAATAATAATAATGATAAGGGAAATAACAAGGGAAGAGAATACAACTGCTCACCACCCTCCGACCGATACCCAGCCTGACCTGAGCAGTGATCTAGCCCTTCTGGGTAACTGACCCCAGTTTATATAGTGGGCATGATGTGCTGTGGTATGGAATACCTCTTTGGTTAGTTTAGGTCAGGTGTCCTGTCTCAGCTTCCTCCTGGCTTCCCCTCCTCCCTGACAGAGCATGAGACACAGAAAGCCCTTGGTCAGCGTAAACATTACTGAGCAGCAGCTAAAAACCATAGGTGTTATCAGCGCTGTTCCCAGGCCGAAAGTCAAAACCACAGAACTGCACCAGCTGCTAAGAAGGAGAAAAATGACTGCTACTGCTGAACCCAGGACACCATCATTATAAAGCCATTGCATATTAAACTGCTGCAGCAGTTTTGCCAGCGCTCACACTAATGCACTGCTCTGAATGAAATTATTTAAGTCACATACCGTTATTGCTCATGATCATGTTTTGCTTTATAGTTAAATTATGAATAATCCAAGAAGGATATATTTTAGTGATGCTTTCACTCCCATTCTGGATGCATTGATTCAGCAGGTTCTTTCTGTACAGACTCTCTGACAGTTGGGCTAATATAACACGCTTTTAAATAACAGGACACTGAAAAGAGAAGGAGGGAAAATATTTATCTGTCCATAGAAACTGATGACAGCTCCTTTTCCAGAAACTGGGGGAAATATATCGCCCTCCTCTGACCTTCACAGAATAAGTTTAAGGCTGTTTTAGGTCTTTTTCAGCAGAAGTTTCCTATTCTTCAAGGCAAAGATCTATTATTTGCATATTAGTAGCTTCCACCAGCCAGCAAGGACATGACCTCACTATGTCATGTATCACCAAATTAAGAGAGAGCTCTTCTAGAGCTTATGAGATATTGAGGAAAGGCTGGAAAGGGCTGGATCATAAAACACTGCCAAGAAACATCCATGAACCCCTTAGAGTCACAGTCACTCATGGCTAGGTGCCATGCCCGGTGTTCAGTGGACCTGTCCTCTTCTGAAGCTGCAATACTTAGAGAAATAGTAAGGCAGCAAATTTTGTTAAGCTTTCCTAACATAACTCATTTTGAATAACAGCCTTTCAAAACCAGGTAACAATGGAAACAATCAAAATATGAACCTACAGGTAGCTTCCAGAGTAGGGAAGGACTTTTCCACATCAGCCTAGGATCAAGCACAGTGGGGCTTCTGTTAGCACTACCCAGCTTCAGGTTGACTGAGGAGCTGGAGGAAGTACTGGAAAGGTGGAGTTGCTTATGGAGCAAACTGTACAGTAACAACGTGGTTAATTCCTAACTGCCATGGTTTGAGATTTTGCAAAAGCAGAACAGCAAATCCTTGGGAAAACTTGGAATTTCTACAATATAAATAAATATGAAAACACCTTATGCTGTCATTGTAAAAATAAAACCACTTATTTAATAAATAGTTTTTAGTGATACAATGGAGTGTAATAAAGAGGTTTCTATATCATTGAAAAGACTCTTGTTTAATTAAAGAAAATTGGAACAATGCCTGACTACAAAGTACAATCTTTATAAAACCTGTACTGAATATTTATTCATTCACAACTGCTTGTATGCCCTGAGGAAAGGGATAGAGGTTGAAAGCATTTTGCAGCTATTTACAGGATTACTTGAAAAATAATAGTATTTCTGAACTGCAAAGCATTGGAAGGCTTTCTGGAGTCATTCAGAACTCAGACATCTACAGATGTCACTGACACCACAGAACGTCAGGTTATGTGCAAGGTTCCCGTGTTTTCACCACCAGTCTCACCCACTGGCTGACCTGGTATTATCAATAAGAGCTCTTAACTACGTAAGTTTAAATGTTTAGACATAAATATTGCCAGCATGGCTGTGAGGAATCTAAAGATCTTTCTGCACAGACACTGCATGTCAGAGGAGACACTTGAAACCAGCTGCAACAAAAGGTTGTGCTACTGCATTTTCTAGAACCAGATTCCTGGTTTTCTCTTTTTCTAATATAACTCTTCTGGGCCGATAGCATTGGGAACTGAAGTCACAAAAATAAACCTCAGGAGAGGCACTGTACATGAACACCCACCCAACTAGTTTCTGATACAGACATGATCTAAGTGATACTTGAAGGCAGCATTTTTCTGCCCTACAAATTAATCAGTTCTTCACTGAGACTGACAACAAGGGATCTAAACATGGCGAGGTGGCTTTATAACCCTCTGCCTTGGATGAAGATATCTACACTGCAGTCAAACATCTAATACTTTTATAAAGTTTAAGAACCTGAACTGAGTTGGAAAGAAAAGTCTCGAAGTAAGACTTGAACAAAACCAAAACAATCCAGGGACATGGAACAAAAACAAAAAATGACAGCCTCAGTAATATTGATAATCTGGGAGAGAAGAGTTGGGAAAAATTCCTTGTTCCGCTATGAATTTCCTTTGCTCAAGCAATGGGGCTTCAGGTCCCTAGCTCTAAAGCAAATGGCATCATCAAATCCTTAGAGAAAGGAAACAATAAACATTAAAACTTCAAAGCAGTGCTTCTGTAACTCCTGTGTAATTCTGTAATTACACAGTGTTTCTGTAATACTTAACATCTGTTTTTTGTTAATGTACAAGACGTTTTCGGGCTTCAGCCCTTGGTTCTTCAGGCTCTGGTTTGCATACAATATTCTTTGCAAAATCTGCCACCACAGGAATAAAACCAGGATACGAATCATTTACGTTTATTAATTACTTAGCAATACTACACTAAAAAGTAGACACATCTTACACTTCTATCTAGTCATTCCCTTCAGAAGCTGCTTCCACTCACTCTTTATACTACCAGTAATTTCTCCTGATTTGAAGACAGCCTCAGAAGACCTTCCAAATAAAATCAAAAGGCATATGAACAAAATCTGGCCTTTCTTGCTGGCATTTGCACACTTTACACACTTTCAAGACAAGAAAACAATACAGAATCTCAGCCTGCTAATAAGAAAATGTTATTCTGATGATGTCTGCAGCTACTTCTGCTTAAGACAAGTTCAGCATCAGTGAAAGAACTTTCCTGTCTTTGTCCTTATGAGCCAACAAGTAGAAAAGTCTCTACTCCACAGTTCAAAGTAGCTTTTCAGATGCCTTTCATTAATTGACAATACTTGCTTTTAATCATGTTCCCTTGTTATGTATGATTGCGTGAAGATAAAAATATACACAGCAGAAAGTAATACTCAGATAATGTTATGCCTCTTACCAACAGGAGCATTAATATCAATTTAGCTGGTATATTTACTTGAAAGAAAATGTTAGGAGAAACTATTATTTGTAAAACCCTATGAAGCTCAGAACTTCTTTCCAACATCTAAAGCAGTTGAAGAAGCTTCAAGAACTGCAGTCACCCAGGTTTCCAGACTGTAAAAAGCCAATATTCTCTGCCTCACAATGAGGTTTGTGTCAATAGAAAGTTTTCTAAGTTCATTAAGATGCTTCCTTAAGAAAGAATCACAAAGTACAGAATAAGGATGGTGTAAGTCAAAGCAATTAATCTGATCACGGAAAGCTAAATAGAAGTCAAGCTGCCTGTGTTTTCACTGACTCCATTCTGCCTCCCCCCTTGTCTCCTTCTCCGAGTTCACAGTGGACTCCTAAGAAAGAAACAACCCAGGCACACCCAGCAAGACACGAAGAACAGAACAACCCCGCACTGTAACGGGATTGCAGCAAGAACTTACCAGACTCCACAACCACAAACACCCCTATCTGACGACACTCACCTCTTCCCAGCCACAAGCAAGAACCGTGGCCCCACCCTGAAATGCCCTGGGGCGGGGGTGGGGCGAACCAGCAGCTGGGAGAAAAGAGGCAGGATGAAGACCAGCTTAGGTACCTTTCTGTGGGGATGTCTGCAGCCCTCCCGGCTGCTCAGGGCTGACTCCATAGGGGTTGCATTTACTGAGCCTGACTTCGGAGGAGAGGTTTCTGTTCGTCTGGTACCAGGAGCGCTTTCTTCCTGGAGCAAAGTGCCTGGACTACAGCAGCATGACTGCAGCCTCCGAGGGGAGGAGAGGTCACAGCTGCTTCATGTGCTCTTTGTCACACAGGAGGTGGGGTGACGGAGCACTGCTGCTTTTGCTTTTACCCCAGGAAACTTTAAATAAACCAGCCCTCAGCATGTAAAGTTTAATTGTGCTGTGGCTCTGGCAGTCCCGTTCTGCCTGTGCATCGCTCCAGGTAGTGCGCTGCAAGCAGCTGTTTGGGGTTCTCCTTCATTGCCTGTGCAGGAATAATGTCTGTGCGCTCAGGAACGCTTTCACCCCACGCAGAGCATCCTGCTGCGCTGTCACTACCATCTTCCCTGTCGGTGCACTCCCCAACTTGGTGGGACGCTAGCAGATTGGTGATGAGGGCAGAAGGTTTCCTGAAGAAGGCTTTTCCTTGAAACAGCTGCAGCCGCTCTCATGTTGTGTTTTGGGTAACACCAACAGAGGATATACAGCTGGGAGCTTGGAAGATGCTGGTTTGTGAAAGCTGTGTGGAAGAGAAGGCAGTGGGACAAGTGGTCTCCAAGGCCTCAGAAACCCAGAGCCTCTTCCCTGCTAAACTTTGCAGCTTCTTGG